ATTATTATTATTATTATTATTATTATGACATTTTGCCATACTTACGAACATTACAGCATCCCCAAGGTCACGTGATCAAGATTCGGATGCTGGGCAACTGGTTTCTATTTATGACGGTTGCCCTGTTCTGGGGGGTATCACGTGATCATCTTTTGCGACACGCAAAGTCAACGGAGAAGGCAGATTCCCCAAACAACCATGCTACTAACTTAACGACTGCAGGGATTCCTTTAAAACTGTGGCAAGTAAGGTCGCAAAATGGGGCCAAACTCACTTAACGATTGTCTTGTTTAGCGACGAAAACACTAGGCTCGTAAGTCGAGGACTACCTATGCTTTCTACAGGAAGTCAATGACACGTTACCTGTATATAGTTCTGAAGCTCAACCTTTAAGTTGACCTTCATTGTTCCAGATTCTGGAACCTTCCAATTCCGCCATCTTTCAAACAGGAACAAGTAGCCTGTAAGTTGCAGGAATGTGTCAGCCCTTAATCACTTTTCTTCTCTTTTCAACAACGTTAAATAATAGGGATATTTGTTTTCCTCTCTGCTCATGGTGTCCACACTTATGAATTAATTGCCATCAAGTCTTTTTTTGTTTTTATTTTGCCCTATTTTTTTCTTCTTCTCCCTGGGGATGAAATCTTATTTTAGCAGTCCTTTTCTAAGCTGAGGAGAATCTTATTTATGCTGTCCTGTTCCCAGCTCTGCTTAGAGGGAGAAGAAGAGAAGGACTTGGGAAATCTTCTCCTGATGAGAACATATTTTCATGATATAATATATTCCACGTTTAGCTTGTCAAGTGGTTTCATGCTGCAGATGAAGCGCTGGGAAGGACTATAGACTTTGAAATCACAACTCGGGTTGTTTATTGCTGAAAATCTTGCTGTTCCATGTGCACTGTGTTCTGAACAGAGAATTACTCTGTGCATATCTGTAGGGTGCCCAAGGGGGACGGGGTCAAAAAAGTCAAAATGGCTGGCAAGACTTTGCAAAGCCCTGCCTTTTTTTTTTTTACACGTGTTGCACATGCCAAACACATAGAAAGGGCCAGCGTTTTTATTAAAGACTGGAATCCTCTTATGGGCTTTTAGCTAAAAGGAGAGAAAAAAAAAAGAAATAGTAACTGTGAGAGGGATCTCAGAGTCTTAATGGACAATCACTTAAATAGGATCCAGCCGTGTGCTGCAGCTGCCAAAAAAGCCAACACAGTGCTGGGCTGCATTAACAGAGGGATGGAATCAAGATCACGTGAAGTATTAATACCACTTTACAATGCCTTGGTAAGGTCACACTTGGAATACTGCATCCAGTTTTGGTCACCACGATGTAAAAAAGATGTTGAGACTCTGGAAAGAGTGCAGAGAAGAGCAACAAAGATGATTAGGGGACTGGAGGCTAAAACATATGAGGAACGGTTGCTGGAATTGGGGATGTCTAGTTTAATGAAGAGAAGGACGAGGGGGGACAGGATAGCAGTGTTCCAGTATCTCAGGGGCTGCCCCAAAGAAGAGGGAGTCAAGCTATTTTCCAAAGAGCCTGAAGGCAGGACAAGAAGCAACGAATGGAAACTCATCAAGGAGAGAAGCAAACTAGAACTAAGGAGAAACTTCCTGACAGTGAGAACAATTAACCAGTGGAACAACCTGCCTCCAGAAGCTGTGAATGCTCCAACACTGAAAGTTTTTAAGAAGAGACTGGACAGCCATTTGTCTGAAATGGTATAGGGTTTCCTGCCTGAGCAAGGGGTTGGATTAGATGACCTCCAAGGCCCCTTCCAACTGTTGTTGTTGTTGTTGTTATTATTATTATTATTATTATTATTATTATATGGCAATTTATGGACCTGCTAATTAAAAAGAGTGCAATACAGTTAGTCCCTGATTTACAACCGTTTGTTTAGTGACTGTTCAAAGTTACAACAGCGCTGGAAAAAGTGATGGATGGCCTTTTTTGACATTTACAACCGTTGCAGCGTCCTCCTGGTCACGTGATCCAAATTCACACGCTGGGCAAGTGATTCGTGTTTATGACGGTTGCAGCGTCCCGGGATCACGTGATCCCCTTTTGTGACCTTCTGACAAGCATGGGGAGGCCAGATTCACACAACAACTGTATTACTAGCTTAGCAACTGCCGTGGTTCACTTAAAAACTGTGGCAAGAAAAATCATAAAATGGAGGCAAAAGTCCCTTAACAACTGTCTCCCTTAGCGACAGACATTTCGTCGTCAGTTGAGGACTACCTGTGTTGTTTTTCTGTGATACACACACACACACACTCTGACACACAGAGATACGTACAAACACACACAGACACACACACAGGGCACCTTTTTTCATGTATGGTGGACATGTAGAGAAGCACAGGTGTACTGGCGTATGGTCTGGGATTGGGCAATAGAAATGACTAGGCAAAACATTTAATACAAACCGGAGACATTACTATTAGGAATACTAGAGAAAAATGTAAATAAAGAGGACACATATTTAATTATCCATGTGGTCACAGCAGCAAGGATACTATTTGCTCAAAAGTAGAAAGCAATGGAAGTGCCGAGTGGGGAAGCACTAATAAAGAAAATTATGTATTGCGCAGAACTAGACAGGATAACTAAAAGATTAAAAAATCAGGAAGAAACAGAATTTTATCGAATATGGAATAAATTTTATAGATGGAGAGAAAAAAAACGGAGGTCGCAGTAAAGAGATACACTGAGATAGAGACTAGAAATGTATAGTTGTATATTGTCTCTAATTATACTAAAAACGCGAATCCCAGGTATATTCATGTTGAGAGAAGTAGTCGAACACCGGGATAAATAAAAACAACGGTTTAATAAACTAACAACTGTTAGTTATACCTATATAGTTGTGTATAGGTATATTATATGTAATTAATGTACAATATGGACTGAGATGTCAGTCAAAGACGATTTACCATGTTCAACGTTTTCAATCCTTTTTTCTTCTTTGTACTTAATAAAAAATTAAAAATAAATAAATAAATTCACATTGATCTTGTTTCCCGTTTCTCTTTTATTTCTGTGAACATCTTTAAGAACAATCATCGTTTTGGACAAGGGCCAGGGGTTTCGTGACACGATCACAGATGCCCTTTTTCTACTCACTTCTTGCCTGAAAGGTCTCCCTCTTTGTGTGTCTATGTGTGTGTCTTTATGTTCTTGTATATTCCTTATTTTGTCTTTTTCCCTTGCAAGATGCTTGCAGATAATGTTAGGCTTCTGATCTCCCTCTCCCCGTTTTAGCATCTCGCTGGCTCCAAGGGGGGAGGCAGGAACCCACTCAGGATAAAGCAAAGGGCCAGATCCACTCAAAATAAATCCATACCAAGGACCAGACCCCCCCCATAAAACCAAGTCTCTGGACCCCATTTTATTGTAGTCTACCCCCCCAAAAAACAAATCTCTTTGTTCTTGGGAATAAATGGATCTCCTTTCTCAACAATATGTCTGGATTTCATTTTTTATTGCGCCATCCCGGCTCGTGGACCCCCCCCTCCCCAAATTATTCTTCTTACAATAACTTCCACCCGGATTTGAAAGAATAGCCCAAGTTAAAACTTATCTCTCGTTAAATAAAATCGGAACGGGAGCTGCAGCTAAAGCCCGTGGAAGGAAAGTTAAGAACAGATTTAACTGAAAAACCACCCTTCCTTCATTGGCACTGATTTTTATTTTTTTTTTAGCATTGAAATGCCCCCCCCCCCCGGGACTTGCTTTCAACTCCATGCAGCATTTAATTTCGCTCAGCCACCCCCCCTTCGAGTTGCTTTTTTTGCAGAAATCAAAAAACATTCTTGAGAAATAAATTCCTCTCACAGCGCAAAGTACAGTGTATCACAACTGTAGATATTTTGTTGATTACTGTCATGGTTCTGGCATTCAGTCTGCTGAGGCAGTGAGTCTTTTCAAAAGGCCAGCTGCCTTTGCTGGGGTTACGGTGATCCTGATTTATTTTCATTTCAAAAGGCTTGGTTATATCTCTTTTTGTCCAAAGTATAAGAGCGGGTACTACAAAATCCATTTTCTCCTTGTCTTAGTCCTGCAGATCATCATAAATAGAGTCAAGATCACGTGAAGTATGAGTCCTGCTTTACAAAGCCTTAGTAAGGCCACATTTGGAATCCTGCATCCACTTTTGGTCACCACAATATAAAAAAGACGTTGAGACTCTGGAAAGAGTGCAGAGAAGAGCAACAAAGATGATCAGGGGACTGGAGGCTAAAACATACGAAGAACAATTGCAAGAATTGGGTAGGTCTAGTCTGGTGAAAACAAGGTGTAGAGGATTTCATGACAGCCGTGTTCCAATATTTGAGGGGCTGCCCCAAAGAAGAGGGAGTCAAACTATTTTCCAAAGCACCAAAAGGCAAGTTGAGAAAGAATGGATGGAAATTAACCAAGGAGAAAAGCAACCTAGAACCAAGGAGAATTTTCGTAATGGTGAGAACAATCAACTAATGGAACGGTTTGCCTTCAGAAGTTGTGGGCGCCCCATCAAAACACAGAAACACACAAAAACCACTGAACACAACAAGAACTCAACCAACAAAAAATCCAACTACAATCAAACTACACCACACAACAACAAAACAAGTCAACAACGAACACACTCACCACACACAAACAACACTGATAGCTCAACTAAACACCTACCACAGAAAAAACACTCACTCACAACAAACAAAAAAACGACTCACCACTAAACTCACCTCTACTTAAACTCCACTGCCCACAAACTCAGAACTGTCAAAACCACCACACCAACATCAACTGATCAGCTCAAATAACTCACCCTAACTCACACAAAAAAAAAAAGTCAACAAAAAAACGTTCCACAAACCACCACACCCCCCCCAAAACCCAACACCCAAAAAAAACCACCAACCATCCAAAACAAACACAAACCCCCTGGAGGCTTTCAAGAAGAGATTGGACGGCCATGTGTCTGAAATGGTATGGGGGGTCTCCTGCTTGAGCAGGGGGTTGGACTAGATGACCTCCAAGGTCCCTTCCAACTTTGTTATTCTATGCTTCTAGGCTAGCAAAACACGGTGCTGGGCATGTCCCTTTCTCCGTAAATTCCTGAATCGGGGAAATTCTTAGGAATTTGGAGTGCCAAACGCAATCCAAGTAATTTCCCAGATGACAAAGCCAGCTGCCATAAATAAAACGAGTGTGTCACTGGAAAGCTTGAAAAATCCTGGAACCCAGCTACAACGTTGAGAGAAAAAAAAATATCTTTTTTTTTTTTTTAGCAAAAAGGAAGAGTCCACATCATCTCTACCCTTGTAGGCTTCTCAAAGTCTAGGAGTTTGTGGTGTTGCTCGGCAAAGCCAAACCCATGGGGTTCCCTATCGAGTTCGCAAACGCCATAATTGCGTTTGAGCCAGACCCTTTGTTGATGCTGATCACCTCCCCGCTGGCTTGCTCAAGTTCCGTCTTCCGGAAGATGTTCTTCATGGTGGACTGGAAGTTGTTGGTGACAAAGCAGTAGACGATGGGATCCATGCAACTGTTGAGGCTGCTTAAGGTGACGGTCACGTGGTAGACCACCAAGCTGAGGTTGTAGGACATGGCTGGGTTGATGGCAATGGCCAGCTGGCGCACGTGGAAGGGGGTGAAGCAGATCATGAAGATGATCAGGACCGTGATGAGGAGCTGCACGGCTCTCATCCGCCTCTCCCGGCTCTGGTGCATGAGCGTGGGCTTGGAAAGGGCGCACATGATCCTGGTGGTGAAGAAAGTGAGGATGATCAGAGGGAAGAAGTACTCGCAGACCATCAAGGGCAAAATCTGCGCAATGCAGCAGTAGGAGAACTTCACGGCCAGGGTGAGGATGGAGAAGGTGATCACGGTGGCGAAGGTCCAGATGAAAGCACAGATCCCTTTGGCGTAGTCGGGGTTCCTCCACCTGCGCGAAGCTTCCACCTGGACAATCGCCAGGTACCGGTCAATGCAGATGCACGTGAGGAAGAGAATGCTACAGTACATGTTGACAAAATAGGTGAAAATGTGGACGAGCGCACAGGTGTGGCAGTCCTTGGCAACGTAGTGCACAATGATCCGGATAGGTAAAGAGAAGCCCACCAGCAGATCGGTGATGATCAGATTGATGGTGTAGATGACCGAGGTGGTTTTCGTTTTCGTGCGGAAGCAGAAGACGTAGAGAGCTACAGAGTTCAACACCACGCCCATCAGGAAGATGATGGTATTGATCACCACCAGGACTATCCACAAGGTATGAAATCTGTCCGAGAGTTCTCCATCCAGGTGGACAAATTTGTTAAACATATTGCTGTAGTTGGAGGACACCGTAGAGTTGTTGGAAGGCTCCATGGTCAACGCCGCTAATGGTACCTACAAGACAACAAACAAAGATGCAGGTTCACGGTCGATTTTTATACTGCTCAATAGTCTGTGGAGATTCTCGGTCATCCACATCATGGTTGTCCCAAAGATGACTTTTCACGAGACAACTGGACTTCCTTGTTTTTCTTTGAAGACGTTTCATTTCTCATCCAAGAAGCTTCTCCAGCTCTAACTGGATTGTGGGGAAATGGAAGGATTTATACTCCTTGCAGGCAGCTGGTCTATCTCCAGTCTACAACACAGTCCTTTCAACAATTCCAAGAGGGCTCCACACCCATTTGCACCACTCAGGTGACCCTGAGGACACAGGTAAACCTCCAAGTGGCCTCAAGGACTCTCTAAAAGAAGGCAAATGATCAGCTGTCTGCAAGGAGTATAAATCCTTCCATTCCTCACTATCCAATCAGAGCTGAAGAAGCTTCTTGGATGAGAAGTGAAATGTCTTCAAAGAGAAAAAAGAATGTCCAGTTGCCTCCCCAAAAGACACCTTTGGGACTGCTCAGTAGTGTAATCTTGAGGTCAAGTATAACTTTTAGGAAGGAAGTTTGGACCCAAAGCTTCCTGTCTCTACCCTTATTTGCAAATATCCCAACTGCTCCCGGATGAGAGAAAGATCCTATTGCTTTGCACACCCAAAGCATGGAATACAGATAGCACAACAGATTTGTAGCAAGCCATCATTTAACTAGGTTCCCAGTTCTTCCAGGATAGGTAGTCCTGTACTGAAGTAAACCGTTTGTTTAGAATGAAGTTACAACGGCTCTGAAAAAGTGACTTTTGACCGTTTTTCAATGGTTTTACAACTGTTGCAGCATCCCCATGGTCACGTGATCAAAATTCAGACACTTGGAAACTGACTTGTATTTATGACGGTTGCAGCATCTCGGGGTCATCTGATCACCGTTTGTTGACCCCTGACCAGTAAAGTCAACGGGGGAAACCAGATTCACTTAACAACAGTGTTCCTAACGTAACAATTGCAGTGATTCACATAACAACGGTGGCAGGAAAGGTCGCAAAATGGGTTGTGGGAAGAATCCAGAGAAAGAAATATTTTGGAAAATATTAAAAAGGCAGAATATTATATTTCCCCAAAGGATCTTAAAGATAGAAACCAACCTCGTCCCCAAGTCTCTCTGCTCCAAACAGAAACCGGGTCTGCAGAAATGCAGATGTAATAATCCTGTCAGAAAGATTGGAGTCAGGAAGCTGGGATTAGAAAGACAAGGATCCCTGGAATCAACAATCCTTCATACCAAAAAATCCAACAGTCATCAGCCACAGCCCCAGGGAAGCAGGATATGTCCTTTGGGACATAATAGGATTAACCCACCACCATCAGAATACCAGAATAGCAGACCCAGATCAAAATTCATGCCACAGGAACAACTCCAAATAAAAGCCCAAGAAGGTATAAAAACCTACCACTCCCTACTATATGTGGTCAGTTTTTTCTTAGAGCCGTGTTTCTGTCTGGCTCTGCTCTTCGATAAACTGCAACCTTCTTTCTAAAGCAGTCTCCATTTTGTTTATTCCCGGCTTGGACTGGACCCTGGTGAAGATTTTTCTTTCGACAGGGGCAACATTCACGCAACAACCGTCTTGCTGAACCACAGAAATTTTGGGCTTAATTGTGCTCTTAATTCGAGGACTTCCTGTAAATCTTCTTAATCAACAAACCAATAAATTTTAAAGTTCCGCTTGTCTGCATTTTATAGCAGAACAACTAATCTTAACTCTTCTTTTAAACAAGGCTCAAGTGATTTACGAAAGGTGTTAAAAAGTAAAAAAAAAAAAAACCTTTTAAAAGAAAATCACAGGAGAACTTTTTGACCTTGGGTGGGTGTAACGTATTGCCTAATATGGATTTGCGACATTTTTTCCCCTGCAGCCAACTTGTAGTAAAAAAACAGTTTTCCAAGCTGCTGCCAAAGCCTTGCTAAACCATTATTTGGCAGCAGGGGAGGAGAAAACCCCGGGAGACTGAACGGGAAAAGGGTGAGAATGGCTGCTTTTGTGCCTTGGGATTAACCGGGTTAATGCATTAATCCATTAACCTGGTTAATGCGTTAATCCATTTCCTAGGCTCGTGGACAGCTTTCAACACAAATTTGACAAACAGCTGGATTTGCACAACACCCAAAGCTGGAAAACTCCCCAGCCAAGGTTAGATGAATTGAATTTACTATGTAGGGTAAAGGCAGTTGTAGAAACACATCATCAGAACAAAAGGTTGACGTTAGAGAAGAGTTTTCACTTTCAATAATATAATTCCAATAAACATTTAGCCTGGCAGTTTCGGCTTTCTACATCTCTCGTGTCTCGAAACAAATCAAACCTCGCTGGTATTTATTAGTCCTGCCCTGCTCTTAATAGCTGGATCTAATCCCGTGGTCTAGTCCTGCCTTAATTTTCCAACAGCTCTGTGTTTAAATGTTCCTCCGGGTAATTTGTCACATTATTTATACACAAAGGGTTAAACATTTTCTTGGCAAGTTTTTGCTCAGCTGGGGCAGAGATTGGCCAAATATGGTATTTTGCTTTTGGGGAACGCGTGAAGCTGTGATCTTCGGTGTCCAGGAGCAACAGAAAGATCTGGCAGCCATCAAGATTGAAAGGGAATATTGCTGAGGAGATATTTAGAGATACGACGGTTCTAGAAACCTATTCTTCACTTCAGTTGTATTCTCAACAACAAGACCTGACATCCGGGGACACCCCCCCCCCAAAAAAAGATTTTACATCACTCTTGATCAGTGATCCCAAACGGTTTTATCCCACTCTGGATTTGGAGAATCAAGGATTATTCTCCTGGATTAGCTAAGCTTATTTCGGACATATTTTTCTTACCGTATATGCCGGCGTATAAGGCGACTTCCGCAAGCGCTAAAATCGGCGCCAAAGACGGGGGTCGTCTTATACGCCCAGTCGTCTTATATGCCGGAAATACTGGTAGTTTCCGGCATATAAGACGACGTTCTAGGAATGTGGCTCGGCGACAAAGACGGGGGTCGTCTTATATGCCGGGTCACCTTGTACATCGGCATATACGGTAGGTCCAACTGAACGACGTGAATCATTCATGAAAACAAACCAACAATACAATACTGCACAATACAGGCAGTCCTTCACTTACAACAGTTCACTTAGTGACCGTTGAAAGTTACAAAGGCACTGAAAAAAGCAACTTATGACCGTTTTTCACACTTATGACCGTTGCAGCCATCCCCGTGGTCACGTGATCAAAATTCCAACGCTTGGCGACTGACTCATATTTATGACGGTTGCAGGGTTCCCCGGGGTCGTGTGATCCCCTTTGGCGACCTTCTGACAAGCAAACATCCAAGGGGAAGCCGGATTCACTTAACGACCGGGTTACTAACTTACCCATTGCAGTGATTCACTTAACAACCGAGGCAAGGAAGATCGCAAAAACGAGGCAAAACCTCACTTAACAAAAGTCTCCCTTAACCATGGAAATTGTGGGCTGAGCTGTGGTTGTTAAAATGAGGACCACCTGTATATCAAACAACAACCCCAGAAAGGGCTTGTTGTGATTAAGACCACCAAGGAAATGAAGAAATCCGGGAAGTTCAAAAGCGTACAAAAAATTATTGTAAGCTTAAGTTCTCTACAAGAATCTGAGCTACTCACGGTCATGGGAAATTAGAGTGAGTTAAGAACAGAAGGAATTCAAGGTGGTCTGGCCTTTGATCTCTTGTGGGCACACAGGGACTCATGACTGGTGACGCATTTGACCCGTCCCTCCAGGGTCATCTCCTGCAGACCAATCCTAGAACTTGGAGATCAATCTCTGCCCACTGCTTAATTGATCAGGAAAAACAGAAAGGAACAGAACAGAACAGAACAGAACAGAATAGAATAGAATAGAATAACAGAGTTGGAAGGGACCTTGGAGGTCATCTAGTCCAACCCCCTGCTCAGGCAGGAAACCTTATACCCTTTCAGACAAATGGCTGTCCAGTCTCTTCTTAAAAACTTCCAGTGTTGGAGCATTCACAACTTCTGGAGGCAGGTTGTTCCACCGATTAATTGTTCTACTGTCAATTTCTCCTTAGTTCTAGGTTGCTTCTCTCCTTGCTTAGTTTCCATCCATTACTTCTTGTCCTGCCTTCAGGGGCCTTGGAAAATAGCTTGACTCCCTCTTCTTTGGGGCAATCCCTGAGATACTGGAACACTGCTATCATGTCGCCCCTAGCCCGTCTTTTCATTAAACTAGACATGCCCAATTCCAGCAGCCTTTCTTTATATTTTTTGGCTCCAGAACCAAGAGATGTTCTTTCTGGCTCCAAGACTATCTGGACAGAACTGAATCCAGACAATAGGTCTAGCATTGACTTGAGAAGACTCAGTGATGGAGATCCATTGTTTCTCATCCTTCTCTCTGGTAATTGGTGAATAATATGACCCCCTCCTCTTCTTTGTGGCAGCCCCTCAGATACTGGAAGACTTCTATCATGTCTCCCCTATTTCTTCTTTTCCTTAGACTAGCCAAACCCAAGTCCTGCAGCCGTTCTTTGTATGTTTTAGTCTCCAGGCCTTGGATCATCTTAGTTGCTCTTCTCTGAATTTTTTTCCAAACTCTCAACATCTTTTTTTGTGATATGGTGATCAAAATTGGCTGCAGTATTCCAGGTGTGGCCTCACTAGCGTTTTATAAAGCGGTACTAATATTTTGCGTGATCTTCATTCTATGCCTTGGACTCATAGCGTCCCTACAAACAGAAGTCCTATTAAGAGAGATACAAAAAAATCACCTTCGTTTAAGTTGCTCAAGATTCCTAGCGCTTTGCTCCAAATTTCTTGGAAGAAAGTTGATCCTGGATTGATTTATGGCAGCTTCTGGCTTATATCACCAAGTGGTTGAAGCTCTCACGTTGTCAAGTGGTGCTCCTCAGCTTTCGTAGGCGATTTGCATGTGTAATTTCCCCTGCTTTGTCCACGCCGTTACCTTCCCTCACAACATA